CAGCTGTTGACCTGCAGTAACTGTGGCCCCTGGAGTAATTTAGTTGAATAGCCCTGGCTTAATGTACAATTTACATAATATCCATGCACCATCTATACCCATTTCTTTCTTTCAGGGTCACAGGGGTCACTGGTGCCCATATCCAGCAGTCACAGTGTGAGAGGTAGGGTACACCCTGGACAGGTCACAAGTCCATCACAGTGACACACATAGAGACAAATGAAACAGACAACCATTCACTCTCACTCACAATAGGGACAATTTAGAGTTATCACTTAACCTAACAGTCATGTTTTTGGTGTGTGGGAGGAAGCCGGAGTRCCCGGAGAGAACCCACACATGCACGGAGAGAACATGCAAACTCTACCCAGAAAGGTCCCCGAGCCAGGATTTGATCTGGTGACCTTGCTGAGAGGCATCAGCTCTACCAACTGAGCCACTGCACTGCCCTTAATGTACAATTTACACAACATTACATTAAAAATATATATGTAAATGTGTAAATATAAATCTTAAATGTTGAAGTTCGATGTTTAAGTTTACATCAGCCTTTGCCATTGGTGCTCGGCTCATGTTGTGTCATTCTCATCCTGAGACAATAGGTTTTCTTTGAAATTGTTGCAGGACATCATCTTGGTTAGCTAACACTAGCCACTGCTAACACTGCTAATGCTGATGAAAAACGTCTATAGGCTAAGTTTACATTGAAAAACTGACACCAGTCGCAACTTCAATGTTGATGTCATGCAGGGAAGTGTTAGCCTTGTTAGCAGTGCTAGTAGCATTAGCAGTGTTAGCAGTTGCTTTTATCTCAGAATGATGATGTTCTAACAAGAGCCGAGCACCAAGAGCAAAGGCTACATTCTTTTCTGAAATACTTAAATGTAAACTTCAATATTTAACTTTACCATTTAAGATAGAGCTTTTTTTATTTGAACTTTACTTAATCAGATGAGTCAGTTGAGAACACATTCACAGTCATCAAGCGAAGCTCTCACTGTGTTTTTAAATGATGCAAATGGAACAAAAGTAGTAGCATTTCTGCAGATGGTTCCAATCATTAGCTGCAGAAAATTAAAAAGGTGGCCGCCCAAGGGAAGAGTGTGCTTTAGATACAGAAAGGTTAATGTACTGTATCTGCTGGACCGGAGGGACATTTAGATTTACACATTTAGATTTAGGGTTTAATATTACATATTCTACTCAACATTTAGTAAAAAAAATATCAAAATGTAAGAACAGTGAGCTAAATAATAAAAAATGTGTTAGTGAATTTTTTTGTATTTATACTTGGCACCCCTTCACATTAACATTCATTCAAAAATAAAAACTACAAGTTAGTGCATTGTTTACTTTTTTTTCTTTCTATAAAAGAAGCTTAGAAAAAGTTCTCTGAAAAGCCGAGAAGAATACAATGCAGTGAGAATAGCTGCAGACTTTGTAAAATAACCCTCCAAGTTATAAAACAATTAGAGCTGTTAATAAAAGCAGAAGATATTTGTCTTGTTGGACAGCCAGTCCAGACTCCAGCTCGATGAAACTGCCACCACACCATTTAAACGAAGAGCTGTGGCTCTGGGTCTGTGAGGTTTTAGTACAGAAGAGCTGCCAAAGAGTTAGCTCAGGTGTTCTGCTCTGAGGTGAACCTCGCAAATGTTTAGAAGTAAATGCCATAGAAACTTAAAACAGTTGCTCTCCATGATAATCAGACATTTGTGAGGAAGGTAATGCAAATTAGAAGTGTAAGGAGCAGCAGCTGTGACTTTTTTACCCTCTTGTTCAATCAAATGGTCAGAGCAGGGACCTGCTGAGTTTTGTGTTGATTGCAGAGGGTCATAGAGAGAAAGTGTGAAGGGGTTGAGGAGAAATTGGTGACCTTTGGAAATGGTGTGCTGAGAAATGCACTTTGATGCTTTCAGATAGGCTTGCTTCTTACTGAATTCGATGATGCCATTCCTGAAATGAGTTTATTCCTACAAGACTGGTGAAGCAACTGAAAGAAAGAGTTTGACATTTTTAAATGGTAACAAATAGTTGTTGCTCTGAACGCCACAGTTGTTGATCAAAAAGACAAAAACAATTTAAATGGTATAAACTGTGCGAGTGATGCCGCCTCATTTATAACTCTCGCAATGTCTCAAATTTGCRAACAAGATAGCATTTGGTGTGACAAGTGAGAATTGCCAAACTTTGTAATTTTTTTTTTTCAAAAYGGCTGACTTCCTGTTGGTTTTACAATATGGCGCCAAGAGACTGTTTTTATYAGTAACGGATTGATGTACCTATGTACCAAATTTCACGTGTATGTTTGTCATAAGAAGGGCTGAAGTTTAGAGGGCGCTAGTGAGCCAATTTGCCACGCCCACATCTGGATCTTTCTCCAATCTGAGCTTGTTCCATGTAACTGCCAAGTTTCATAATGCTCAGCCCAGAACATGGTGAAAAAACCTCCAGTTGGCAGAAAAACAATACAAATCAGGTTGAAAACAATAAGGCCTTCCACTTCTTCAGTGTTCGGGTCCTAAATATAGCGACATAAAAAAAGAGTGCAGATAAAGGAAACATTTGTGCAAACCTTAGTKATGGCGAGAGCACATGCTTGTCCCCAGATTTCTATCAGCTGTTGTTGTCCAAATCTGTAATCCCTCAGTAGTTCTGTCTCGATGGCTGCCATTTCCTCTTTCCTGACAGACACAGAATAAAAGCCATTGTTAGTATTCAAATTCATCAGTAGGTAAAGAAAATGTTTTGCTCCATGACTGTGATTTTCTTTACTGGTGGCAAAGTTATAGCCTGGCCTTCGCTATTCTATGCAATTCTGCTTGCTTCAAATCTCYATTTACTGCTCTGTCTGGGCTTCTCCCACTGACATGGATTTCTAATTGCAGCCTTCGATTCGTGAAATGACTAAAGGCCGATTCCACCTACTTTTTCAGTGCCTTGGGCATCTTTAATCCGCTCTAGTTTGAAAAATAAAACACTTAAGACACGTCAAACCTGGACTAGATTATTCTGCACTTAAAGCTTGTGATTTGTGAAACCACTTTTCCCATCTGGACCACACCTGAACTAGACTCTTCAGACCTGTACTGGGTTATTGAACACGTATAAAAGAATATTTATTGAAGTTTCACAAATCAAATAAAAGCTTCACAAATCACAAACTTGGTTTAAAATATTTTGCTACAATAATCCAGTACAGGTTTAACGAGTCTAGGTGTTGTAGTTTTACCTTTCAGTTTGTTGATGTTTAATCCTTCGAGCTGGGCAGTTATTTTATCATTACTGAGTCACACAAAGCTGAAGGTGATTTCCAATTACAGCTTCCAATTCAGGAAATGGCTAAAGAGTGATTCCACATATATTTTCACTACCTTGAGCATATTTAATCTGCTCCAGATTAAAAAGTAAAACACTTAGACACATCAAACCTGGACTAGTTTATTCTATACTGATTGCGTAACATTTAAAATTAAGTTTGTGATTTGTGAAACCTTTATTTGATTTGTGAAACTTCAATGAAGGGCAGTTACAGCACCCATCTGGACCACAGAACTAGTCCAGATGCAAAACTACATTCTGAAAATGTATAGACACACTTTAGGAACTTGATGGCCTTAAAGAAGGAGGAGCGCCACATAAATCAACACACCTCACTAAAGGAAAAAAAATCTTAATTTAATCTAAGTAAATTTCAAATCAATTTTAAATTTATTGTTTAATTCAGCAATCGCATAAAATTATTGAGAACAACTGGTTAAACTCTCTTTAAACTATTACTACACAAGCTTTAGTCTTTCTGTAAATAATTTTCCCTACCAGCTCACATACACGGCTTCTTTCAGTCAGAACTTTGAGAGATTATTTTCATTCTCAATGAAAAAAAACATTTTGAGGTCAGTGGTAATACATTCACTCAGTTTAGGAAGAAAGCAAGTACTTTTTATTTTTTAATATTTTTTCTAATTTTATGAGTTGTTAAATGTGATTTCCATCCTGTATTTTCCAGCAACATCCATTTCAAAAGGTGAATAAATTTTACATCATATACATAGTGRTGTATACAATCTGTGTGGTATACTGTTGCAAAAATATTGCAAMAAATCAGCAAACTACATAGTTAAATGTTTATTTATTATCATRAAAGGCTGGATTGATGTGAGATAATYCAACTACTTTTTTGGTAAAAATAAAAATTAGAGCATGTGAAACACAAACTGGAGTGTATTTACTGTAGCTTCCAYAGACCAGTTCATATCTGACTTATCAGCCTAACACAACATTTTTATTTTACAGTCTATGGTTGTAYTTTTACTTTGTTTCCTCTGGCTGCTCATTACTGTGACTGAGGTTGAACTGCAGGCGCTGCTGGAGCTGTTTTCTGAATAAAGGCCTTTCCTGTGTGTACATGTGACACGAGCACAGCTGCAGCAATGTCACCTRAAATGCAGTGTACATAGAGGAATAAAAATGTTTGAAACTCCATAAACTACAGCTATCCTTATAACTCTACAGACACCTGGTGGTCCTCGTCTGTACTGCATTTTAACAACAAACCCTAATAAAACAAACACTTTCAGGTAGAAAAACAGCAGAATGTCAGTTATGCATGTCAAATCCCTTTCTGAGCAATWTATTAAAATTGCATCAGAAGCTGATTGAACTTTAAAGCCTTTATTTTAAATAATTTGTTATGATGCAAATCAGTGAGAGATGAAAAATAAGCCAATGTGCAAAATGTGGAATGTGCACCTAATCAGCACTTAGTCAACRAGGTTTCAACACTCTGTTTGTCCACGAGAGTTAAATGAAGGACGATAAAGAGCTCGTTCTGCCAGTGGAAGTCCCACACCGGTGCATATACAGTATTTCTATGTGTTACATCACTTTTCAACAAAAAGGAAAAGCACAAAGAACYATCAAAACTGATATAAAATTATACTCAGTCATACAGTTAATTATGAAACATTCAAACATGCAACCAGAGGAAAAGAGTACCGGTATTCCATCAAAGCCCAAGAAAACAAACAAACAAAAAAACAGTTTTATTTTGCTCATAGCAGAGCAATTAAGGGTGAAAAAATCCATCATATTAGTTTCTTTGCTGGGATATTTTTAACCTCTTATGCAGTAATAAAATGTTGTGCTGTGGCCTTAAAAGCTGAACTCACACRTTTTGTGTGAGTGGGAGTAGGTTCTGTGTTTGTGTGGTAGTACACTAGTGTATCCAAGTGGGGCTCCTGGCATTTACCTGTGCCAGTGGAGCGGCAGCAGCTGGCACCCGCAGCTCACCTCGGGGAGATTTCCTGAGCTGCTGTGACAAGCTGATCTTTGGAAAGTTCACCACAGTCCACAGGGTCCGTTCTGTTTTGGTGTGCTCAACAGCAGCAGCCTTTCTTACAGGTTTTAATAAACAAGTTGGGTCTGCATGCGTTTGGGTTATTTTAAGGCTGCTGACTCAAAAGCACCGAAGCCACCTCATCAATCTGCTTTTGTGATGTATCTCCTTGCTATATGTTGCACAATGTAGAAACAAAAAACAACAAAATAAGTGCAAGACATAATATTTATAAATATCAATGGAATCGTGATGAACCACGTTAAAAAAGCCAGTCAATTTTGGAACTCTAAAATTCATACATAGGAACATAATTCAAATTTTATTTGGAGTTTACATGTCGGCATTTGGCACGTTGATTTTGTTTATGGTTTATACAGTCACACTTTAGGTTTCTTGACTTTTACAGATTTATTTTGCAAATATTCAACTGACACACACTGTCTAAAGGCACTCTCACACTATATCGTTTTAGACAACTTAKGAACATTTTGTCCAACACTGAAAATGTCTATGCTGAATATGGAATAAAAAAATCCACAAGAAGCCTCATTTGGACATATACACATATACGTATATGTACTGTAACATATATGATTAATGTAGTCATAACAGCATTTTCATAAGTCAGCATAAGTTGTCTAAAACGTTACAGTGTGAGAAGGTCTTAACTTTTCAATTGCATTAAATTTTCAAATCTCTTTTTACCCCCAACTCTTTTTGCTACTCATACAAACTACACCTTATGCTCAGCGCCTCTCACTGCTATAGATTTATAGTTCGTATAGTTCAGTCCTCTCTGAATATAGATAKTACACACCCAACCTTCCACAAACTTCAGTATTATTTTAGCCCAAAATATAATCCTTGAAGTGAACATATGCATTTCAATTCTTTTTTTTACATTTAGATCATTCAGTTAGGATCTATAAGTGGAACTTCAATGCTTTGRTCTGAATTCCTCCTTATTGTAACTCCACAAGCCCCTCTTTCRCCTATTTCCTGAGGTGTGTCTCAGATTAACTAATTTTGAGGCTGTCTCTTTAAATCAAAACAAGGYATTTTCACCTGCTTCGGATGTTCTCATCCATGATGATAACATCAGAATCCGCTGCGTTTTATACCCCGCCCCCATCCAGCTTCCAGAGCAGTTCATTTTAGTTTGATAATGGGTTTTATGACTATGTAGCAGCGCAGAAACTTTTTGTTTACAAATGAATTCAAAGATGTCAACAAGGGAAACCTTGTCCATCCAGCCTTACATATTGGAGCCAGAGGAGAATGAAGACCACCAAACTGTAGTTAGAAGTTCTGTCACAAAAACTGTGAYGTAGTTCACAAAACTTCACGGAAATTAGAGAAAACTGAACAGGTTGAAAATATGACCAAAACAGAAAAATATATCTATGCAAAACMAGGAGAGWCTAAATTYAGTTTTTYTGCACTCATAGAGACTCCAWGTTCACACCAAAATAGTTTTGTCCTTGTCTATTTAGGGCTTACTTTCAGATTTTACTTGTTTTTATTTACACTTGCTAGTTCTTGGTTGCTGTTTTTACAACAAAATACAATATTTCTATGAAAGTTTGTTGGCATGAAGCATTGTTGKGAAGATGTGCTGAAGTGGRAGTGTTGGAAATGATAGGTAACATTGTGACTTGATGAGTGGTATAGAATTGACCTACAGTATGTGCCTATAACATACATAATACCAACATTTTAATGTCTCTCATGGTACAGRATAATTAACAGATGTCTTGTTCCACCCTCTCAGTTTGCTGCTCATTGGAGATAATGTTTTCAGCCCAGGGTCAAGACACACACTTTAGCCAGTGAAGATGGACGTACAACAATGTGCCTTGAGTGTATGGTTTGACATAAACTGAAAAGGTATGATGGCGATCAAGATTAAATTAAATTATAAATTATTTTAAATAAATAAATTTATAAATATTATATTAAATAGCCCTGTGATGGACTTGCGACCTGTCCAGGGTGTACCCCGCCCCT